GGAGGGAGATGTTAGTCTGATACAAAGATTACAATATTATACTGGTAATAGATAGCAAACTTAAACTTTAAATAGGTCACGATTACAGCGCCATCTATCCGCCAGCTAAAAAAAGTCGCACGTATGTGTGCGTGTATATGTGTGTAGCCAGCTACCACACTATCTTGATGGTGAAAGGTTTATTTGATCAGTTTTTTTTTTTGATAAGATAAATAGGTATATTTTTTCTTTTATATAGATTGATTCTAAAAATGTTTAATAGTTATTATTCATTTTGAGAATCAATACATATATAAAAAAAGCAAATGTACCTTTATAACTTATCGAAAAAAAAAACACTTGGCTAATTAAACCTTAAATATAAACATAATGTACCTAAGACCGCAGATTATTTTTCGTTTTATTTGTTATGATTAAACAAGTATATCAGGAGTCATATTTATATGGTTTATGTTCAATGCTAACTATTATAAATGTTTAGAGCGAGTAAAATAAATCAATTAGTTTATTTCAATGAAACACTTGTTATTTTTGTAGCTTTATTAACCATCTTATTTCAGACATTCATCAGTGATCCACACACAGTTTTTCTCTTCCTACCTTTATTTTTTGAAAAATGGTTATGAGCCTTTACCTTCATTTCATCATTTCTATCCCAAAATGAAATTTTGCCATTGATTAAATCATTGATATTTTTGCACAAATTATTAATAAAAAATACTGCACATTTTTCTGTTATGAATTCTTTTAGTTGAATTTGGTGTTCTGTGCATTGTAAAAAATTTAAATATAAATTAATCTTTATGATTAACTCTATATATGTCAAAATATTTTTTTTATTGCAATTTTCTTTTAAAACTTCTATTGTTTTCAGCATTGGCAACATAGTAAAATAGGTTTCGGGTAGGATACCACAACCAGCTTTTGTTTTCAAACTCTTTTAAAATTATATAAGAATGAAATATCTGCTTTTCTTTAGCTTCTATGTTGTTTTTACATAATAAACAGTTTATATAAAAAAAATTCTTTGCTAATTGTGCTATCCAGCCACTACAGTATCCAATTGCTGCGGATTTTTCTACTTATTAAACTTTCTGTATTGATTAAATCAATGCATAAATGAGCATTTTCAATTTCAACTTCACATTCAGTGGGTATATCATCTACGTCTTTAGTCAATAGTTCTTTTAGTGTTTGCAGATAAATGCTATCATCCATTTCGCAATTTGATCCCACTGAATGTGAAGAAATATTGTCAATAAGCAATGTTTTAAAGGCTCCCTAATTTATGATGAGGCGATGTTGGTGTCACTGCTGTCCTATACATTTTCCCCACTTTTGGTTTGCTAAAGCTGCCATTGACACTGTCGAATAAGTCATCAAAAAACATCAACATGTCTGCAGTTTCAGTGCATTCTTTTTCAAGAACTCCAAACTCTGCAATGAAAATATAATGTTTGTTTAGGTTTGTAATGGAAAATATAAGTTTTTAGTATGTATGTACTATGTATACCAGAAATTTTTTCTATAATAAATCTGCTCTCAAATATATAATAAAACATATGGACTCTAAAATTTCATAAAAATAATAATCATCATCATCATCATCATCAGCCCTTTTACGTCCCCACTGCAGGGGCTCAGGCTTTCCTTGTGGATGGTTAAGGAGGATGGGCCAAGAACCTCCACGCTGGCCCAATGCGGATTGGAGTGAATTGACGACTGTAAATGCAGCCGGGACCAACGGCTTAACGTGCCTTCCGAAGCATGGAGTAGCTCGAGATAATAATTTTTTGGTCACCCATCCCATGACCGACCCTTGCGAAAGTTGCTTAACGACAACGATCGCGGGCCGAGGCGCTTATCTACTACGCCACCAAGCTACTCTCATAATAATATTTAAAAATATCACCTGTCATTACTCCAATAGCAGCTCCAACAGTTTAACACCTAAGTGAAGTGTTTCACTCTCATTTTTAGGAATAAATATAGCACTACATGATGAGCTGTCAACTTAGGTGCCATCTTCACTCCTTTGTAGCCTGGGCATCTTTCATACAATTGTAGAATGTGATTCCACTTAGCAGTACATTCCTTTCCATTCATGTTGCAATATTTGATGTAGTTTGGTCACATACTGCTGCTACCACCGTAAGACCAGTTTCTGCAATTTTAATAATCATATTCTTTATTAAAGCTTTAAGCTCCAAAGCTTTAAGCTTTAAGTTCTTGTATTGCCACTGCAAAAATAATAGGCCAGTGGCTGTTTATATTTTTTAACAATGCCTCTAATTAAGAAAACAAGTACATGGTTACTGTACTATTTGCTTCATTGCTCCATTATCAACAAATCCTGTGATATTTTTTTTTTTTATTATTAAAGCTGATGCTTGGTGCTATTGCCATTTCGTCAAATACCAAGGTGCAGTATTTAAATTTATCTGGCATTCTCCTAACTCTGGATTTTTAGGTTGTCAAATAAAATTTCATTTATGCCTGCCTTTAACTGGACTTTATACAACAAAGTCTGCAATGTTTGTCTACTAGGTAAAATATAAAATTTTCTTAACAGACGATACGCCTTAGCTGTAGGTTTGTATAGCGATAGCGCTAAAATCTTTTCATCAATGGTAAATCAATGCCTTTGTTTTTTTGTTATTTCCATGTGACATTTGCATTCGGAAAAATAATTTTGCAGTAGGTGACATATTTTTGGAAATTATTTGGTAAGCAGAATTCAAGATTTAGCAAGAGCCAATTTTTGTTTAAAGCTCCTTTTTTGAGCTTCTAATTTTTTTAATTTCATCACAGTTATTTTATATTGATTATGGTCTTTCACAGAAACACCTGCAACAAATTTCATGAAATGTAAATTAAAGCCTCAAAAATAAATAGTTTCTTTTTTTGCATTATACACTGTACAAAACTGAATATTTTTCAGATTTGCAGATTGTTTCCAATTTCATGCAGCAATTTTCAAATTGGATAATTGAGATATAAATTTTAACATACCTTTTAATTTTCTTGGCAACTGTTGTTTGGCAACAGGTGTTTGTGTCTTTCCATGGTTTGTATGCTGACATGGAAATAATAACAAATATAGTTATTTCATGGATATCATTGGCTTATCAATCTCTGGCTCAAAATATTAAAGATTGGCCTATGTTACACAACATAGATTTGCAATTTTGAACAAAGGGACCTTCAATTTTTGTATAACTATATGTTGACTCATGAATTTTCCTTTATATAAAAAATAATATTATATTTAAGATGATTATTTAACTATTTTAATTTTCATCAGAAAAATGTTTACCAACCTGATGTGCAGGCATGTAGTTGAAAAGGTACAAAATGTGAGCTACATGGCAAATCCGCACTTGCAACTATGTGAGGTTCTCCAGTTGATTGCGCTGAACATGAAGAAAAAAACATTTTATAATATTTTAAAAATCAAAACATTAAAAATTAACATGGGAATTAGGAGCATTATTTGAACAATGGTGTAAGAAACTAGCTTTCGCCCACAAGGTCTTATATTGTACATATAAACCTTCCTCTTGTACCACTCTATACCTATATTGATGAAAACCACATTAAAATCCATAATGTTTTTTATAAGAACTCAGCTTATAGTAAACATATTCGTTTTCTACTATTTCATTTTTACTTTAAACTTTTTATAGTTTGAAAAATTATTCACTGGTCATTGTTAATCACATATGAAAGAATTTTAATGCATTTAATAAATAGATAGGTAGACATTCAATATGCAGTATTATTTATAAATAATAAATTACCTGACATATGAAGTGTAGGCATTGCTATGTTGCAGTCTATTCTTGGGATATTTATGAATATCTAGAAAATGTTTTCCAAAAATATGCATGTTATTATATATTTTGATTGGATCCAGATGAGTTATTTCTCCACCAAAAATGTCTATCCATTTTTAAAAATTTTCTGTTTTAGTTCTAGGGTCAGGAAACCGGTGCAAAGGGATACCTGAGTAACATAATAATATGTATTATTCTCTGCTATTCACACAACAAATTATTAGTCCTTAATTATTTGTAACTTGGATGAACAAATAACAATTCTTAAATTGTAGGCACATAATAAGTTTTTTAATGAATATTGTATTCTACGATAGCTCAAAGAAAAATACCTGAAAAACATTTGAATTATGAAACTCCACGTATAGGTATAAAAATCGGTTGAAAACTTTGACATTATAGTACAATTCATAAAGTATTTATTGTACAAACTAAAAAGCACTTACCGCTATCCTTAGTCACTGAACATTAAAGTACACAACAACGGTTTTGAGCCATGATTTTTTGAGCAAAGTTCAAATTAAAAACAAGTAACATTTCGGTACGGGATATTTCAAGACACAATACGATTGCTAACACAATATATTTCGATTACACGGAAGAACTTAATCAACTCAACGTGAATAGCAGAAAAAGTTACAGGAACTTGCAAAAACTAACAAGCACAAGGACATTCACTCAATTCATTTTCCATTTGCGAAGTTAGTTTTAAAGTTTACCCACTATACCAAACCATTACATACGCGCCATTTTCAATTGATATTGCCATAGTATATTTAATATTACCACTTAAATTAGAAACATTTCTAGTGACAATTCTATAATTACTATATTATTCTGTAACGAGATATATTATTTCAATAATATTAGGTATCATAAGGCTTTTAACTCAGTTTCAAGTAATAATAAACAAGATTTATTAATGATGCCTTTAAAAACTATCCCCAATTATAAACACATTTATTAATTGTGGCTACACCATGATTTCTATTTTAAAAGCTGGCACATAGATGGCACTGTAAAGTAAAAAAAAATCGAGTTCTAAGTTTGCATAGCATGGTCTGATACTAATTACCTTTCTCTATGGTTTGCGGGTTTGCGCCCAGCACTTCAAGCTTGTTTCTTTGATTTTCTTGATTAATAAGTCAGAAAATTTTATTCATTATGTCTGTTCCTCCAAAATCTAAAGACAACAAATCTGAACCTGTGGCATATAGTGAAGCTGCGCTCAGAAATAATGCTATTGTTGTCGAGTACTGCCGAACATCAATGGCAGCTCTTTCTGGATCTACAGCTGGTAGGTTCATCGAAGTAATCAGCATTTCTTTACTAATATTTCTAATCTAATTTATTACAATAAGAGTTATAGTAATGAAGGTAAGGCATTGATGATAGATGTGATTAAAGATGATTTAGCCTGCCTATATAATACTTTGTTTGTCATTATTAGTTGTCATGATTAAATATTGATGGATATCTATTATTTTTTCAGGTGTACTCGGTCTAACAGGGCTGAATGGCTTTGCTTTCTATGTGCTGTCTGTCATCACCTTGTGGGTTATGTTTATGATAAAAGCTGGTCCTAATTGGCACAAATACTATGTATCAAGACAAAGTTTATTAACAAATGGTTTTTTTGGTGCTTTATTCACCTACATATTATTCTGGACATTTATATATGGAATGGTTCATGTGTATTAGGTGATTAATGTTAATGCAATTTCTTAGTATAAACTGTAAATATGTCTCTGTCACATTGTAAACATCATCAGTTATAACCTAAATCTATGGTTGATTGTAATAACAGGTAGAAAACAGTTTAAAAACCTTAAGTTAATAATTTTATGTCAATGTAATGTAAGTTATGAGGGTTCTTTTTAACCTTTATTATATGTTCTTAATGAAAGAGTAACACCCATATCTATAGTTGAGTAAAAGTAATTACTTGTAAATATTTTTAACAAATAAACAAGAATTTGAATGATGTAAGAACTGTTAATAGTAAGAATACTGTATATTATTGTTGTTTATATTAATTGTTGTTTATTTAGTAAAAATATTTGCTTAAGTATTCCATTATCTTAACTAATTACTTCTCTAAACTATAGGTATTAGTATATTTTTAATTCTTTGATTATCTTTTAAAGCAATATAGATTTCTTTTCAATTGAATGGTTTGTTATGAATAAAAGGACCACTTGTAATATACATTAGACTTGCAACAATAATTCTGTGAGTATTCGGCATATTCAGCTGCTTTTGTTATATTTGTCTGAATACTGAATATATCCATACTGTTTGACTGAATACCGAATACTTAAATACTTTATATATTTTGTTATAATTGGGTAACTGGTAAAATAAAATAAATATTGATTTATTTTATAATTATATTTCTTTCATATTCTTATAATCATAAGTCATTAAAACAGATAGTACTCAATCATCTTTTGTATTACAAAATGTAATGGTTTTTTATACATGTGATTTGTTGTAATCAATGTTTAGAAGTGAAAGTTTACGGTGTAGAAATATTTTTTTTGCATTATTAGGAAGTAGTTTAGATAATTATTTTATTGTTTATTTACAAACAAATCAAAAGACAAAGCGAACTATAAACTGTATGTAATGTATTTAAGATATACACAAATTAAACTTGCCTAAACATGCAGTGCACAGGCCACCCAGGGTGAGATGGTGAGTACATTACACATCCAGTAAGAAGATATTACATATGTACATTACAACAAATAAGCGCGAAACAATCGCATCGATACAAGTTTTGGGGCCACATAACAGCCAAATAATTATGCCTAATATTCAGTTATTAAGCCAGGAAACTTGCTGAATATTCAGTATTTGACATATTATGTCCAAATATACTATTTGTTGCAAGTCTAATGTATATACAGCAGTGTGAATATATGGAATGATATATAAAAATATTTTTAGTTATGAAAATGGATAATAAAATTGTTAAGTTGTTATGTATGACTTTTTTATTAGTCAGGAATTAGCATGATACCTGAAGGTCTTTTCTTTTTGGCCTTCAACAGGAATTTCAATTCATATCTGTGAAGATTATTTGTGCATTAGAGGTAGTGTCAGGTCCCACATTTGTTAGTCTATTAGTATTTCCAAAATAGATGAAATTTTGTTTTGAGAGAAATAGAATAGTCCTTCAGGTACCATGTTAGTTTGTATGAGTAGTTTGTATAATTAATAATATTTTGTTGTCCTAGGTTAAATCTTCTGCGGTCCAGATAAGTACCGTCAGGGCCTGAACTAAAGGGGGAAGGGGGAACCCGAGAAATTGCTCAGAGCGGCAAAATGAGTGAGGGTATCCGTGGTGACGGTTTTATTTTTTTGTGAAATTACTAACATCAATCACTATTTAAGTCGCTTGCTAGTTACACACAATACCCTTTCAAAATCCGCTACTGGCAGTAACTAGTGTGTGACTTGTATAATGAATAGTGTTAGTGTAAAGGTAGGCGAATATTATATTTGCCTAGAGTGACTATATCAGGCCTTCCGTCAGTGGAGTAACTATACCGTTGGAGGCCCATAGCAAATTCATTGGATATTCAATTTATTTTTATTAATTGCGTAATAATAAATGTCAGGAGTAAGGAGTTTCCCCTGACCGGGGGCGCCTTTCAGTTTTGGCAGTGGCATTTTGCCGACTTGCCATCCTGTAGTTACGCCACTGCCTTCCGTACCGCTTCCCGCGTAGCATGATGAACTAGAGAGTCTCAAGAAAAGGCCTAAAGCAAAATCATTGTTTGGCTATATGTCACTCTCAACCTGTTTCTCTTGAGTTTCGAGAATTTCTCATGCTACATGTTAAGATCTAATTCAAAGAATAATGTAATCTACATTTAACCAACACCTCTTCAGAAGCTGCATTATGCATTTGCAACCGAATACCTTGTTATATGATATTTAATAAAGATTGTAATTAGTGAATGATATTGATTTTTTCTTTGTAGGATTAAGTTTATTTATTAACTTGTGTAAATGACAAACACGAATAAAATAAAACACTTGGTAAAGAGTCTAAGATTTTTTTTAATATATCACTTGGAGAAAGAATACTTCGGTAAGTAACTATCAATTAAAATTATCAATTCAATGGCTGTAAACTATAACTATAATTTTACCAACCTCTACCACTATCGGTTTCTAAAAAAAATGATATCCCAGGTGGAATATATGACGTAATAACAAAATATATAAAATTTACATTTAATTTTATACCTTTGAATAACATAACATAATAAAATAACATAATTATTTTTAATATATCGTTTCATATAATAAAAACGGAAAAAATCATTTTTAAACATATAATTTTCAAAGAAATACTCTTCAATCACTATAATTTTCTTTGATATAAATATTATTTTACATAAAATTATATATAATCTGCCGAGACAGCGTACTCATTAGATACTTCTATTGTACATTGCATAGAAAGAAAATAAACCTAGTAAACGATTTGGGGTAATTTTTTTATAATAAATTATTTCAAATGTTCATTATTTTAAATAATGATATAATATTTGATTTGGTTTTACTATAAGAATAAAATTAAATGCTATAGGCATTTCATTAATATTATACAAAATTTAGATTAAACGATTGTTATATGAATTGTTTTTAGGCGTTTTGAATATTATGGTTATTGATATTATACAAAACGAATATTATTAAAAACAAGTGTTGTTTTAAACGAAATTAGGATAATAATCGTTATAACAAATGATCATTATAAATAATAATAACGTTATTGATCTGAAAACTACTTAAAGTTTTTGACTTTGAATGTTTCTTTTTAAGGGTTCTCTTTATAATTTTAGTATAGATTACAAAAAATAGTTGACGTCGTCTACTGTTAAAAAAATGAATAGAACTACGTGGTTGTACTTTTAAACTTTAACATTTTCCAATAATCTTTAATAATTGCTCACTGAATTAGAGTCTCTCTACTACTCTCTGCTATTCGATTTTGAGTTAATGCCATTCATGGGCAATGAGGATATTAGTAAGCTGGTGGTAACGAAATCAGACTAAAATTACCTACCTGATTTGAGTCATGCGACCAACCATTTCTTAACCAGGCAGCGCGCTGAGAACACTGAGTGAAAAGAGTCAACACAGCGAAAAATACTTTATTTGACTTAGTTGTAACCTACTGACTACGCCAGCTCAATAAAACTGGGCATCCTAGGTATTTTAATATCCTTAAATTTATATAACAAATTTACATCAAAATAGAACGCTTATGTAGGTACTTACACCCATCAAAAAGTGTAATTTTGCCAATGACAAGAAACTCCTTTGGGATGGTCTGATAATGTTATAATTTTAAATACCGCGGACATGGCCTCGTGTGCAAAGTAGGTACAATAGTCTTTTAAAGTTCTTCATTTTTAAGGTTCAAACAAATAAAGCAAACTATCTGTTTACCATGCCATGCCGCCGAATCAAAAACGAGCATATGCAGCTAAATTTGCTTATATGGACGGGTAGACCCTGCCTATAGAAGAACCGTAAATGTAAGAAATATAAATAAGGTAAACATAAGCAAGTGTTTATATTTATTAAGTGAATCAGCTATTCATAAGAGAAGTTTTCATAACATTAACAAGAACATTAGTAAAAATTAGAGATGGGAACTAATACTGAAAATAACTCGATTTATCGCTTAAGAATTGAATTACTTTTGCAGTTTTTTTTTTATTAGCCCAGAGCCTGTTATATGTGTACTCTATAAATTAATTGAAAAAAAAGCATAAACATTTGGTTATAGGTACCTAAGTAAATGAAATCCAGCGTGAAAAAAAATCGATAATTGTCATTATCGTTATTTTAGAAAGAAGAAGTAATAAATCACCCCCGCATTATTGGCTTCGATTCGTTAGACATACAATACTGTATTATTTTGATACATTCTGTACGTTTAATACATTGATCGGTTTGCATCAAATGCACTTGTGATCAATACAGTACCGAATGTTGACTGTATTGCGATTGAATCGAATGTGACACAAATTAAAGCTAATGTAGTTACGCGGTAGGCCTGCTGGATTATGGAACTAGACTTAATCCTCCTATGAGAGTACATCTCTTTTAAAATGCACCTTATAATATTTTCTGCAGTGCTATTCGGTTAAAAATACAGCGCGGTACTGTTCAGCGTTTTATACCTATTTCACAAGGTAATAAGGTTTAATTGACTGAACTTCTAATGCTGCGATGATATTTATCTTTTTAATACGTTAAAGTTAACAACGTTTATCGATATATGGTCATCCTTAATTCAGCATATAAAAGCAAATTAATGCCGAGTTATAAGTATGTATTGTACAAAGCCGAACAATGTAAGTATCAATATAAATCTGTATTATCTGAAGTCATTTGAATACTATTTTTATTATTGAAAGTATTAAGAAAAAATATAGGTCGGATAATTTTTGTGATCCTGATAACTTAGAAAACACCGTTTTGTTTGTATATTTAAACCTAATAAATAAAATTCTCGTGTCACAATTTTAGTGACTATTTTTATATGGGAAAAACTTTATAAAAATCCTGTAAAAAAGACCCCATAAATAACTAATCAAATCCCAAAGAAAATAATAAAATTGGTGGTTGAAGAAAGTAACGTTTTTAATTAAATTAAATGTATCAAATAAAGTGCCAAAAGAATAAACGCTTTAGTATTAATGTGTGGGCTTGTTTTTTTTTATCACAACTTGACTAAATTTTGGTGGACTATTTTAAACTTCATATTCAAGTCATTCAGTCACTATTACGTTAATTTTGTTACAAAATCCCTACCGTGGAATGGCGAACCCCTAGGGATTCATCCAATCAACTCATTGGGTACAATACGGAGTCCGCGGGCTCAGCTAGTATTTACTGATATGTAGCTGTTTTTCACAGGCGTTTCGATATTTTGTTTGTCGGTACACTGTTACCTGGCAAGACGTTAAGTTTCTGGGACCAAGGGACTACAACAATAAAAATAGTTGACACTGACAAAGAACCTCGGACGAGCTTCTTCAGATGGCAGTATTGTATGGGGAAGTCAATTTTCTTCTTCATGGCTTTTTGGACTTGGGGTTACGACTGGGAAGGCTATGACAAGGATAGAAGACTTCGGAATTTGGCTGGAATATCAATAGGTGAGTGTTAAATTACAGTTTTTTAATTTATTTTTGTGTTCTATTTTAGTGTGAATAAAAATTTTGAATCAAATATATGGCTAAAGATAAATCTTTTAATTGATTTAACAAATTTCTCCTATTGAACAGTCTCCTACTAACATTTCAACAGCATTAAAGAGAATTATTGAATTAAAAAAGAGTGGATAAGCACCGTGGCCTGCGATGATGTTACAAAACAACAACGATGTTAAGCAACTTTCGCAAGGTTCGGTCACGGAATGGGTAACCAAAAAAATATTATCCCGAGCTACTCCGTACTTCGGAAGGCATGTTAAGCCGTTGATCCCGGTTGCATTTGCAGTCGTTAATACCCTTCAATCCGCATAGGGCCAGCGTGGAAAGTCATGACCTATAGTCCTAAACCTCCCATAAAGAAGGCCTCAGCCCCTGCAGTGGGGACGTAAAAAGGGCTGATGATGACGATTGAGTTAAAACACTCTCTATGGTTATGTAGTTCTGTTCTGTGAATTAATTAATTTGTTTAATTAAAGACCACATTTTATAATATTACAGGTATATTCTAATTATAAGTAGATCAATTATTATTCAATAAAAAGACAAGTACCATCTTATAACATATCATAAAAATACTTATTTACATAAAATATAAATTCTCCACAAATCAAAACAACATATTCGTTTTGATTGTTTCAGATAAGTTACCACTATCGGTTGCTACTTTATTGAACAGAAGAACGTTGATTACATCAGCCAACTATTTAGAGCCTTGGTTGACAAGAGCGAAGGATTTACGCATATGGGCCCTTGGTAGAGCAGGACAACATCGCACGCCGTACCGCTATCGAGTTTGGAGAGTAAGAAGGTTGTTACCGAAAAGTAATAACCCTGAACACCAACACGGATCTACCGGTGAACACAACCCGCGTCATGACATTACAATCATACACTCGTTCGATCAGATATACTTATATGGAGTAACAGAACGTTATTTATACGCCAACAGAGGTTTTCTGCCTAAAAAGCATGATCTCGTTGATGGAGATAGATTATGGATAGCAGGCTGCGGTTACCAAACTCTTAAACATATCCGCGAGAATTTTGTAATGAAACAAGCAACTGTCGTAAGAGACTTCATAGTGGACTGTTCTAAGTATCTACCTAAATGGTGGGGAAAGTTTATATGCATGATAAACCCATTTGTTTTTTCGGGTGTGCAAAATGGGATGGCACTCTTCGGATCGAAGGGATTTGATGATTATGTGTACGGAATAGGTTGCTTCGAGATCCGTTACAACGAAGAGAGGATATTTGTATTTACTGATCTACGATATTACATAGACTGGATCCATATATACGCGAATATCACTCCTGGTGACTATTATGAGTATGCCTATCCCAAATGGAGTATCCCCGGTGGGTTCTTTTACGATGGCAGTGGTAATCAACCCTACATGCCCAGGTGGAATATATGGTACGATATGTATCCGCTAGGTAAAAGGTAAATTTGAAATTTACCTGTCTGCTAAGTAATGGTTTACTGTTTTGGCAGAAATACTCTAATCGTTATTGTTTGTCTGTATTTATTAAAAATCTACATTCTAAATTGTAAATTTTCATTAAATTATCTTTTTTTTTTAAACGCTCTATGCATAGATTTACATATCTTCGTGTCAGTCAGTGATAAAGAAAGTATCTACTTAGCTCGTAGGTAAAGTATTTCTAAGAGATAGATTTAAAAAAAGACGTAGGTAACCAAATTCGATAAGACTGGAAGTTCGCGATTCATATTATATTCTAATTAGCTTTACTCAAGGAATAGGTTTTTTTTGTTTATGTGAATCAGTTATTGTTTACGAATAAACTTTTACAGTTTTCATAACATGAATATCAGTCTAGGGTTGAGATCTGATACTAAAATATATTCGATATATCGACTAAGAATAAAACTAATTTTGCAGTCGCCGTCAAACGACTTCTGTTGGTGATATCAGCAGTTCGCAAATTATCCAAATATAAGTAGAGAACAATCGGCCTACAATGTTTTATCTATTACATTATATAGAACTAGGTACATTACCCATCGACCTTCAATAATTGCTCACTAAGCTAGACTAAATTAATCTGTATAAAGCATACTGACCAAACATTGCAGGCAATTTGCGCGGAGAGCTTGTAGGTTTTTATTTAAGTTTACAAGAATATCAAAATAATTAAAAATACATTTTTTTTGATGACACTACTTCATGCAACTAATTTTACCTTGATTTATGTTATTATATATTCGATGTTAACAGAGCCAGTGTCTTGCATTGTTATTGTACATTATTACGAAAACAATTTCTGATGTTCCGAAATTGGTTTCGTGAAACATGTTTTCAGTTTCATACAACTACCCTCTTTATTTAATTCGGCTTTAGGGTCGACGAGTGTATCAACGGATGTATTCAGATTATCAGTTAAGTGTAAGTTTGTTGTAGTTTCTTGTAGGCGAAGGGATATCATTTATAGTAAATAAAATAGATCGACGAAGACTGCGAGGAAGAATACAAAATCACAGTCAGTGAGGCCATGCATATCGCCGAAGATAGTCTACGATAGTCATTCAACGAGGTCATGACCCTCAGCATTGAGGATGAGCGACGATAAAAAGAGAAGCATTTTATAGGTACTACAGTCAACAACCTTTATAATTTCGTCTTATTTAATATTTTAACGTTTTCACAACACTAGACGACAAACATCTTCCAAATTCCAATCATCCGTAGGTAGTTTATAAAAGCGGAGATACAGATTTGTGTGTCTATTTTTTTTCGATAAAGTTGAACAATGTAAGTATTATTACTGGTTTTAGAAAGTAAAGAAAGTGATTTTTAAAATAAAGAAAGTGATTTTTAAGTTAAAATGTGTTTTTTGGTGTCGAAATTTATCTACAATATTTAAAATATTGGAATGGGAACTACCAGTTGACTAAAATATTACGTACAGACAGGCATAGTAAATAATTATATATTATCTAAATGTAATGTATAATATATAAATATAAACTATTTTGTGTATAGGTATACAATTCTCCACCCACAAGAAATGCGGGGACATTAATATTATATGAAGTTAATATTAGATGAAGTTAATATTTTAAACATAATAAGAGCTCAACCCCTTTATACATAAAAGGGATGATGACATTTTTTTTATTTTTTACCTAATCAATAAATTATGGCGATGCTGCGAGTTGAAATATCACATGACATCACGCATTAGTACAAGTTTTATACATTGTTGTGACTTAGCGAGCCCCCACTCCTCCTGTAAACCATTTCTGTTAAATTGAAGCAAAATAACACTTATCTAAATTTTTCTATTATCAGACTGACCTAAATTTTTGCAGGCGTTTTGAAATTTTTTTTGTGGGAGTATTATATTTCGACAAGGCACTAAGTTTTTGGGATCAAGGGACTACAACAATAAAATTTGAAGACACTGACAAAGAACCACGGACTAGCTTCTTCAAATGGGAGCACTGTTTGGGGAAGTCCTTTTGGTTTTTTCTGCAATGGTGGGCTTGGGGTTACGACTGGGAAGGTTACGACCAACAAAGAAGGCTTCGCAATTTGGCTGGAATATCAATAGGTGAGCGCTAAATTGTAGTTTTGTGATTTATTCTTGTTTTAATTTCAAATACCCACTGAATTCCATAGTGCTTGCGAATTTCTATATTTTTATAAAGATTTTAAAATTATTAAATGCTAATTCATCTTCCTCTGCGGGCGCAAACAAAATAATGTTCATATATGAAAAGTTTTCCAATTGGTTGGTGAACCGGTGTGGTAAACATGTGTTGTATTTGAGGAGCATTTTTAGTTTAATATCTACGCATATTTAGAGTCACCAGACTTGTGTTATCTTTCAAGAATCGAAATGCGTTTATATAATGGATGTTAGCATATTAAACAGGAAAGTGTTTCGAATTAGGCAAATAGAAAAACCATACGACACAAACTGTATTTGAAATAAAAATTTAAAATAGTTATTTTTCATTTTGTATTATAAAAATAAAAGTACTTAATTCAAATAAATCGATTTTTTACATGCTCGTTTTAACTGTTCTAGATAAGTTACCACTATCGGTTGCTACTATATTGAACAGAAGAACGTTGATTACATCAGCCAACTATTTAGAGCCTTGGTTGACAAGAGCTAAAGATTTACGCGTATGGGCGCTTGGCAGAGCAGGCACTTATCGCACGCCATACCGTTATCGAGTTTGGAGAATAAGAAGATTGTTGCCGAAAAGTAACAACCCTGAACACCAGCATGGACCGACTGGTGAACATGTGCCACGTCATGACATTGCAATCATACACACGTTGGATCAAATATACGTATACGGAATAACAGAACGATATATGTACGCCAACAGAGGTTTTATACCTAAAAAACATGATCTTGTTGATGGGGACAGACTATGGATTGCAGGCTGCGGGTTCCAAAGCCTTAAACATATCCGCGAAAATTTCGCAATGAAACAAAAACCTGTTCTTAGAGAACATATAGTAGACTGTTCTAAGTATTTACCCAAATGGTGGGGAAAGTTTATATGCATGGTTAATGTGTATCATTTTCCCGGTGTACAAAACGGAATGGCGCTCTTCGTATCGAAGGGACATGACGATTTTGTGTTTGGGTTAGGCTGCTTCGAGATCCGTTACAACGAAGAGAGAATATTTGTATTTACTGATCTACGATATTACATAGACTGGATCCACATATACGCGAATATCACTCCTGGTGACTATTATGAGTATGCCTACCCCAAATGGAGTATCCCCGGTGGGTTCTTTTATGATGGCAATGGTAATCAACCTTACATGCCCACGTGGAATATATGGCACGATATGTATCCACTAGGCAAAAAGTAGGTAAATTACAAAATTTAAGTATTAGTGATTTACGTTACCAAGAAATGCATGTAGAAGTCCTGAATAATGGTGTTGTTTGCATTTACATTAAAAAAGTTTTATTCTTTCGTGGTTTTTTTTTTTATTTATTACAAAATAGAGTCTTCTTGCCAATATAACCTTTAAATGACTTAACGGATTTAGATGCAAGAGGTATCATTAGAAACGTTACTTCACTCCGAGTGAAACTGATTATATTGCTGAAATATTCAAAATACCGGATGAGATAGAATCAACCAGTGGCCTTTCGTTAAAAATCAAAGGTGGCACGTTAAAAACAAATAGATGGAAATTTATTTCATTATAGCAATATGGAAACAAATTTTAATAATGGTACATTCGGTTAATTAACTAAAAAAATATTGATTCACATATACAAAAACACAAACGTATTATTATATATTTTGCTACAATGGAATCCATATTTTCTAAACTACATGAACCTCTTACAGAGAAGAAAAAAATTGAAATTTTGAAACCTGAATATGGTCAGCGACTTTTACCACAAGATTTCGATCTATCAATACTTTAATTGAATCTTGTAAGTGATTGAAAACTGCTTACCGGTTTCAACAGGCGTATCACTGAATTTTTCTGATATTTAATAAAATTATAAAAACCCAATAACAGCCTACATCATTTTTACGATTTACTCAATACTTCTAACAATAATTCTGTTCAAGTTTATGCTGTTTCTACGAAATCTGTTACTTCGAAAACTGTTATTGAACTACAGACAACTTACTTGTCCTTGTTATCATAGCGACGATCACACTCTTTCTAATTATACTAGCACAAAAAAGGTTAGTTTTCGGTGCGGTTTATATTAGGAACGTGGGAAATCCTATTTTGATGAAACCGATTAGAACATTTGGCTCAATACTATTAAAATTAATTTTAAATTGTACAAAACTTCTTGAGTCCTTTCTAATGGAAGAAGTGTACTAACACCAATACCATCCCAAGTAACTATACAGTATTGTAACAATGACTGAGCCAATGCACAGTAAACGCAAAGCAAAGTACCACGATCACCAGAGCATCTAAGATTACGGAAGACTGGAAGCAGTGCCCTAATGCGACTAGTTAGGTTTTGAATATGTAGTTACCAATTTAAATTATTGTACAGTATGAGTTCATGATACTTTACATTTTGCGTTTATCCCAACTCAGGACAGCCACGGGAATTTTCTGTTGTGCAATGATGAATCTCGATGGAAAAATTGGGTGGCTTAGTATCAAAACGGATAGAAAACACTATATATTTTGGTTTTTCCACGTAAAGTGACAGCAAATTATCTCTCAGCCATCTCATAACCTCTTGGAAAACACATTCTGTGAAATGCTTTAACTGTTCCCAATCCCTCTTATACACAACCAAAGCCATGTCACATAGCCTTAGGACTATGTATATTTTATTGAAGCTCATGTTTTTTTTTATTCAATATTGCTAACGCCTTTACGTTTAGAGAATCGTCCAAAGACTTCCTTTCACGTTCCTGGCCCCGGAACCAATAAATGTTTGTAAAAATATTTCTTCCGGCTGTTTGTGTGAATTGCCTGAGCATTGATGAAAATACTCTCTGTAGTAGCGAAAAAGTAACAAGTGCCTCAAAGATTCGTCAGTTCTGTTAGGTCCTGCACGCGTAGCGTGACAAACTGCAGAAATCTTTGTCTACACTCAATTGTCATTTTCTCAGGTCGAGAGTGAGATATAGTATTGGCGCCCCGAGAAAAGTGACACTTGAGTGTAGACAAAATATTTTCGAGTTCGTCATGCTACGCATGGTGGGTAGCTCAGTGGTCAGACCAGTCCTGGATTGCGATAGGTCATGGGTTCAAGTACTATATCAGAGTGCAAGGGACAAAGATGATTTTTTAAGCATTCTGTCTGTAACTTTTTTGATCAATCTCTAACAATTTTTAATTTTGAAATTACGTGACATTTTAATGTAGCAGGAATATACATTAGTCAATTAAAAACTGAGGGCCGTACTTATCTGCTCACAATACTCTCTTCGCAATGACCATTTTGTAATGTAGTGTAATTGCAACTGTATTTCTGTAAACACATGCAGGTCCAGTGACTTCATCAATTGCTAGGTGAGTGATTTTATTGATTAATTTATGATTATTTACAAGTGATTTGTTAGCCCATTTTGGAAGATCTTCCTACATATCTTAGCAAGGTGGTAATATTAACATTTTGTGTCCAATTTTACCCTAAATTGTCATTGAAATTAGGTCTGTTTTCATTGAAATTAGGAATAGGAAATTAGGATTGAAATTAGGTAGTGGTTAGGGAATGAAGTTTATTATGTTTAATGTAAACAGTTAATTAAATATGTTTGAATTCTCCTTTAATACATCATTACAGAATGTACGTTATCGAAAAGTCAATAGAACAATCGTTCAAAAACTTAGATGAATTAAGAAGTAAGACAAAACCTTTTATCTCTTTTTTTATCTGAGTAATAGGTTATCAAACATGTTGTCAGCTCTTTCTCCCAGATTTTGCCGTTTATGACCACATTTGGCTCATAATTGAGCAGTTTGTCTCAGGTGTCGCGATTTAGGTAACATTAAATGAAGCGCTCGTACCCTTATCTAGTAAAATGGCGAGAAAATTCCTGCGCTTTCTATACTTACTTATCGAAACTTTTAAAATTTGTAATTTTCAAATAGCTGATCGTAAATAGAAGAAGGAGACGAAATCAATTATTTGATAATAATTAATGATATAGATGCTTTTTTTTAATTAATAATCGTATTGGTTTATTACGATTATAGCAAAAGTACTCTCTTTAGCTCTTTGTTACAAATCGTAATTAATAATCGTATTGATTTATAACGATTATAGCAAAAGTACTCTCTTTAGCTCTTTGTTACAAATCGTCTCAAATATAGGTATTCTCTATGTTTTGAAAGCTAAAAGACTTTTTTATTAATTTTTGAAGTCGATTTTATTTAATTTAAACAATAACATTTTATAGTTTAACTAAACTTTGATCTATATCTATACTAATTATAGAGCTGAAAAGTTTGTTTGTATTTACTACTGAAGGAATTGTTTTTTTTTTGTTTTGCATACTCCATTAATCGAGGGAGGCTGTAGGCTATATAACATCACGCTATGACTAATAGGAGTGGAACAGTAATGAAAAATGTTGTAAAAACGGGAGAATATTTTACTTTTTCTGGGTTTCCCTTGCGTACGCTGCGTAAACGGTGAAAGTTACGCAAAAATCATTAATATTTTTTAGTATACCATTGTGAACGCAAAATTAATCAAATATAATAATTAGTACACATTTTCATCTTTATCAAAATTTTACATATTTGCAAAAATATTTCTTTCGGCTGTTTGGGTGGATTGCCTGAACATTGATGAAAATACGTTCTGTAGTAGCGAAAAAGTCACAAGTGCTTGAAAAATTCGCTAGTTCTGTTAGGTCCTAGGTGGCTCGGGGTGCGATGTCTGGCTACCTCCACGTGGTGCACCCTGGGCAACGTAGCCGCTCAAAGTATCTTTGAGCCGCCACGGCTAAAGTCAGACGACGGGAGGGCGGCGGAGTTTTGTCTCCGCCACGCGAGAAGTCTCGCGGGTGTGGGCTCCGGGCCGGCGCCCCGACGGTAAGTCGGGTAGCGGCGGCGCGGTTCGGGCTGGATGGGCGCCCTGGGTATCCCGGAAAGCGGCCGTGCCAGTGAGGGCGGTGGGCCCGCTGTCTCATGGTGGGCATGAGCGGCGGGTGCTGTGTTTTACAGCAACCACCGGCCGACCCCGTTACCCCACTGATGTGGGGCCGGGGTGGGGGCTGCCCTTAGTTGGGTGACCTCTAGAGGAGACAACCTCAATAAAAAAACAACTAGCCCAAGCTGGACGTGGGCGAGGGGTTTGTGGCCGGCGGTTTCTAGCCGGTCGCGACACGTCCTCTGGAGGTGGGGAACAGGCGCCCCCCACCTTCACAACCCTAGCCTTACCCGGGTAAGTCGGCTCTGCCCGGGTGGACCTATGTACCGTTCTACTCGTGGGAACAAAAATGGAATTGTCAATTTTTATAAAACCTTTTTTAGTCCTTGGTGGTGGGCTTGACTCGGCCGGAAGTGAGCGAAGTGATGCTGTGGATGATTCCCCGTACAGAGGGGATGAGCCTTGCGCGGGCGGAAGCGCGCGGAGTGAGGAAAACGGCCCTTCTCAGGGCCAAGGTCCGGTGAGCTCACTTTTGAGCAAGCTGGGCTTAGCTAAAGACCCCTCCAAGGGTCAGCGCGGTGCTGGACGTGGTGGAGGCAGGGGCAAATATCCCTTGCCGGTTGTTGGGAAGATTCCTGAAGGTGTCTCGGAGGAAAAGAGGGCTCAGATCCCTCATTCTAGCTCCAGAGACCCTTCGGTTGAGTCTGACAGACCAGCGCAATCACAGACCATGACTGACAGAAGTAAACGCCATTCGCGTGCTTCTGTCAACAAACCAGAAGAGGACATCGCGGGCTCAAGAGAGCGCTCTCGCTCACGCTCTCGATCCCGTTCACCAAACAGGAGAACTACACGTTCACAAACGAGGGCGCAGTCGACTGCTAAGTCGCCTGCATTGACTGATTCGGATGAGCAGGTGGGACACCTCCCCCCCTCGACCCCACTGACACTGATATCGGATCCTACGGAGCAGGCGAGTAAAGGGGACACTTCTACCCCCCCATTAAACAGATCGCTGAGCACCTCAATGGTCGCTCTTGAAGGCACAAAGAAGGTCAAACTGGTATTTGATATCCCAGGCGCGACTTCCACAATGTCGAGGGTTGCATCCGCAACCTCTCTGAACAAGGACTTGTCACAGGCCCCATTACATAAGGACTCATCCTCCTCACAACTGGGCTCGAAATCCTCGCTCTTGGGCAAACGGGCACGAGAAGACTCGGACCAGGGCACCGATAGTGAGGATAGCGGTGGTAGTGTGGTCACCCTAACTGAGCACGCACATAAGAAGCAGGCGATCGATGCTTCGCCGCCGGTGGTTCCAGACTTATATGAGTTGTTGCATGGTTCGGAAGAGGAGGAGGAGGGGATGGACTCTTTCTTCTGTCGCCCCTCGACAACACGAACGGCTAAGCCCCCGACTGAACATCATTCGGGGATATCGGCTGCCAAAAGGAAGCTTGTTACCCGCTCTGATGACGATTACTCGGACAGTGAGGGACTTGATGATGATGAGATACTTCCCACTGAAGTCGAGACCACGGGGTCCTCGGTGGTTGAGGTACACAGCAAGGCGATGTCGTATATTGACATCAATGACGAGCAGCGCATCAAGTCTAGGAACCTGAAGGGCACCGTCAAGAAGGCCCTCAAGGAAAGCACCAACTCTCTCAGAAAACTGCTGACTAAGAACTTGACGGTATCAGCAGAAGAAGAGATTAGGCATCTGAGGTCCGAAAATGTGCGTCTCGGCAGGGAGCTGGACCTTATAAGGAAAGAGATAGCCGGCTTAAAAAGGGAGGGCAAAGCGGGACATCATCCTAAACTCAGAAGGTGTCTCCAGAAAACAACGAGGGAAAAGACAACCAGTGTCTAAAAATACAGCTGCGCCTACAGAGCCTATGGAGAGTGATGTTCCCCGTAGTGTCCCGTGCTCTGACAATATCGCGAATGGTGGCATCTCCCAAGATACCTTTAACATGCTGCTCAGGGCGGTGGGAGATCTAATGGACAGGCGCTTGAGTGGACTGGAAGATCGTCTTCTTCCACCAAATATTCTTCGCCCTCCATTAGCATCAGACAGTCAGGCAAGGACTGCCTTTAGGCAGTTGGTCAGACCCTCTGCGGAGGGCACAACAGAGGCGGAGAACTCTGCCTCGGTTCCGAGTCTTGCAACTGACCCCCAGCAGATGAAACAGAATGAGAAGAAGAGGAGGAAAGGGAAGGGCAAATCTGCTCAACAAGGTCAACAGACTGTACAGCAGAAGGCACGTCAGCCTCAGCCTACTCCTGGCCCCCCTCCCTCCTCCTCTCCCCCGACTAAGGGCAAGACGAAAGGGAGACAGATCCCATCCGCCCCCCCCCTCCCCAGACAACACGTATGGAACCAGAGCCTCCACAGTCTCAGGCTCCTAAGGACAACTGGGTGGAAGTCGTAAAAAGGGGAAAGAGGAAGAAGGCTTCCAATACGGCAAACCCTCCTCTCCCTCCCTCTTCCTCTCAAAAGCCTTCCTCGATGAAGAGGACTCCCAAGAAGAAGAAGAAAAGAGGGATCAAAGTACCAAAATCATTTGTGGTTGTCATCGACGTTGGTACGGAAAACAAAGAGAGCGGCGCAACGTATGCACAAGTCATTGCCAAGGCGAAACGAGAAATAGATCTCAATAGCCTTGGCATTGACCCGATGGGTTTACGACTCCGCCACACGGCCACAGGGGCGAGGAAGCTTGAGCTTCCAAAATCCGTGGGTGAGGACAAGGCAGAGCTCTTCAGGACTCACCTCTCCACGGTACTTGATGGGGTGGCCAAGGTTTCCAGGCCGGTGAAAACAGCGGATATTCGCATCACCGACCTGGATGACTCAGTCTTACCGGAAGATGTATCGGAGGCCATATCCAAACAGGGTGGATGCAGGGTCGAACAGATTAGACTAGGTGCTCTTGGAAGGGGGCCGGGTGGTCTATCTATGATCATCGTCCACTGCCCGGTGGTTACGGCCAAAGCCCTGGCATCCACTGGAAGACTTCTGGTAGGATGGAGTAGTGCCCGTGTGCAACTCTTGGAGCCTCTCCCTATGAGGTGTTACAAGTGCATGCATACGGGTCACACCAGACAGAAGTGCCCTAAAGAGGCTGACAGGAGCACTGTCTGTTACAGATGTGGTATCTCTGGGCACAAAGCTGCTACTTGCAGTGAGACTCCCAGATGCTTGGTGTGCGAGGAAGCGGGCCGCAACCACAAGCACATCATGGGCAGCAAAAGTTGTTCTGCACCCAGGGTTCGCCCTAAGCCCCTCCCTGGCAACAGAACTGCTAAAGTGACGGCACCACCTACGGTGGCGATGGAGGTTGTTCAAGGTACCATTAATGTTTAGAGTACCAGCGAACATCCTCCAAAGCAATGTCAACCACTGCGCCGGCGCTCAGGATCTCGTCCTGCAGAGCGCCGCCAGGGTTAAGGCAGACCTAGTGGTCATATCGGAGCCATATAGTATCCCCCAATCTACCAGCTGGATTGCAGATGCAGACGGCTCCGTCGCAATTGTACTCCCATCCACTGCCTCTCTTACGCCTCCCCTCACGCTTAGGGAGAAGGGATCTGGCTATGTAGCAGTGGTGTGGGGCGGTATTACGGTAGTTGGGGTATACTTCTCACCGACGCGCCCCTTCTCCGAGTATGAGGAATGGGTCAGAAGACTAGGGGCTGCGGTCGGTAGAGTGGCCTCTCATCTCACTCTGGTTCTGGGGGACTTCAACGCCAAGCACACGGCTTGGGGTTCCCCCAGAAACCATCCGGAGGGAGTATTAATCTTCAACTGGGCCTCGGTGGCCGGACTGGAGATCATTAACAGGGGACGTGAGCTTACTTGCGTGAGGAGGTACATGGGGCGTACTGTAGGCTCAATCGTGGACCTCACCTTCGCGTCCCCTGCTCTGGCCTCTAGAATCAACGGTTGGCACGTGGTTACGGAGGAGGAGACCTTATCGGACCATAAGTATATCCAATTTGTGATCTCCCCTCCGGCAAACAACGGCCAAGCATCCAACCCGGCTGACGGCTTCCGATTTCCCAGATGGTCCATCGCCAAGATGGACATCTCGATGGTCGAGGAGGCCTCCATGATCCAGGCCTGGATCCTGAAGAATCGGGAGGAGGAAACTGATGTCAACGCACACGCAAACTGCATTAAGAGCTCCCTGACGGAGATATGTGATGCGTCTATGCCCCGCTCTGCCGGCCCCTTCCAGCGTACTCAGGTATACTGGTGGTCGGCAGAGCTGGAGACACTCAGGACAACCTGCATGCGCAAGAGGCGAGCTCTTCTACGCGATAGACGCAGAAGTGGCCAAGACATAGCCAGGGAGGCCGTACTGAAGAGGGACTACGCTGAGGCTAAGAGGGCACTCAGGGAGTCCATCTGTAGGGCCAAAGCAGCATCCTGGGAGGAGTTCTTGGAAGACCTCAATCGTGATCCGTGGGGGCGCCCATACAAACTGGTGCGTAATAGGATGAAACAACATCCACCCGCCACGGATCAAATGGACCAGGAGCTTCTAAACAGAGTGGTTTCGGCTCTCTTCCCTGACAGCCCTCCTGTGGTCTCTCCTGTGCTCTCCCAAAGGCCTGCCGAGAGCCATGACAACGACCTTTCCCTGGTCATGGACGGGGAAATGGAGGGAGCTATGGAGCGACTGCGCCTGAAAAAGAAGGCACCGGGGCCTGATGGTGTCCCGGGTAAGACTCTTCGCCTTTCGCTCAAGCACCTAGGGCCTCACATCAAATCCCTTATGGACAAATGTCTGACCCAGGGACGGTTTCCAGGTAGCTGGAAGAAAGGTAGATTAGTCCTCTTGAGAAAAGATGGCAAACCCGCGGAGTCTCCATCGGGCTATAGGCCAGTCGTGCTGCTGGACGAGGTCTGCAAAGTATTCGAGAGAATCATTGCAGACCGAATCGTCCAGCACTTGGAATCGGTGGGACCTAACCTGTCCGAGCGTCAGTTTGGATTCCGCCGACATCGTTCAACGGTGGATGCCATCCTGAAGCTTCGTGAGGAGTGTGACTATGCTGCTGGCAGGGGTGAGAAGTTGATTGCGGTATCTCTGGATATCCAAAATGCATTCAACTCTCTCCCCTTCCAATGCATAGAGGACGCCTTATACTACCACGAGGTGCCTCACTACCTCCGCAGAGTTGTGATCGATTACCTTCGAGAGAGAGAGGTGTTGTTCGTCGACGCGTCTGGCTCCATACAGCGCCGTCGCATGGTGTGTGGTGTTCCACAGGGGTCGGTCCTTGGACCGCTCCTGTGGAACTAAGGCTATAACTGGGTGCTTCGCGGCTCGCTCCTCCCCCGTATGTCGGTCGTCTGCTATGCAGACGACACCCTAGTTACAGCACGGGGACGCACCTACAAAGCCGCGAAGCGCCTAGCTGAAGTCGGGACAGAGTTGGTGATCGATCGCATACAGAGGTTGGGTCTACGAGTGGCCGTGGATAAGACGGAGGCCATCTTATTCCACGGTCCACGAGAGAGGCTGCCGAATGGCGCACATTTACGGGTGAATGGTGTGGGGATCCGTATTGATCCCCATATCAAATACTTGGGCCTCTGGCTAGACAGCAGATGGAGCTTCACGCACCACTTTAGCCAGATGGCCCCCAAACTCGTAAAAACGGCGACCTCATTAGGCAGGTTACTGCCTAACTTAGGAGGTCCCAATGAGACTTGCCGCCGTTTGTTCGCCGGAGTGGTTCGGAGCATGGCTCTGTATGGCGCTCCCGTCTGGGTTAATGTCCTCAATGCCCACAACAGGGCATTATTGAGGAGACCCCAGCGGAGTGTAGCGTCCAGAGCCATCAGAGCCTATTGCACCGTCTCCGGTGGTGCAGCTTGCGCACTGGCAGGGATGCCCCCGTGGGAGCTGGAGGCCAAGCTACTCACGGAGGTCTATAAGGCCAGGAAGGCGTCTCTCGCACGTGGTGATCGTCTGGCGCCGATCGAGATGGTCGCAGTGCGCAGAGAGTTTGAGGAGACTCTTATGACGGAGTGGTCCAGGTCACTAGAGTCTCCTACCGCTGGAGTCCGCACTCTTGCAGCCATCCAACCGGTCCTCCGGGACTGGAAGGAGCGGCGGCACGGAGTGCTTACTTTCCATTTGGTGCAGGTCCTCACGGGGCATGGCTGCTTCGGGAGGTACCTGTACCGAATTGGAAGAGAGGACACCCCACTGTGTCAGCATTGCGGTGCTGGGGAGGACACTGCGCAGCACACCCTCGAAGTGTGCGGTGCCTGGTCCTCCCAGCGGTACGCACTGACGCTGGTGGTGGGCCAGGACCTGTCGCTCCACAACGTGGTTCACTCCATGTTGGGCAGCCACAGGTCCTGGGAGGCGGTATCCTCCTTCTGCGAGACCGTGATGTCGCAGAAGGAGGACGCGGAGAGAGCCCGCGAGCTGGCAGCCCTCGCCAGCTCTCGCCGCAGTCGTAGGACGGGGGGTAGAAGGCGTCGCTATGCGCGCCCACCCCCGTCCTGAGGTCGGCACGGTCGGTTCCCGTGCCCCGTGGTACTCGTGCGGTACCAGCTGAGGACCTCCCCGGGGTGATGGACACGCGCCAGCGTGTCTGTCGCTCTTGGGGGGGGACAGCTGGAGCGGCTAGCAGCTGACTGGTTCCCTGGCAGGGTTACGTCTGCCGGGTGCGCCTGTGTCGCTGGTAGTGAGAGGTACATGGGGAGTCGACCTGCGTTCCGTAGGTAAGGGGATTTCCTCTGTGACCCCGGTCTGGTTGCCCGGTTCGGCCGACATACACACCGTTTTTGGTGTGTGTGGCGGCCGGCCCGGGTGGTGCCATTCCGGGACTGCGCAGTGAGGTGCA